GTTGTGAGACTAAAGTGAGATAATATGTGTAAAATTCCTGGTAGTAGATACCCAATAAAAACCAATCAATTCCAAATTATTAGTTATTTATTATATATTCAAAACTTTGCTTTTATGACCTATGATGAATATTTTTAAACATGATGAAATGGTCTATAACTTCAAGTCACCTTCCATCTTTGAGGAGAGATAAAATATATTTGAGTTTTTGAAAAATAACATTATCTTTTCATTCCATTTTTTCCACAAACTTTTTGAAATCCCCTTGTATAGATGAAATAATTTGAGAGAAAAACAATGACAGAATTTATCAGAGTATCAAATTATTTTATAAACATAAGAAAAAATGGTGTGGAAGCCATGTCTGACTTCTGGCTTCAAAGAGGGAAGGAGAATCAAACTCAAAATCAGCCCATGGTCAATTCTGAAGAAGCAGAGGTCAGACATGCCTTTACCCTACAATTTTTGCTACCCTATTTAGACACCAACCATCCCTCCCAGAGCACTCTCTGCTTCACATCTGGGTTCAATAATCTGTTGCAATGGCCGGCCACACAGAACTTACAAACAATACTCACGAATATGAGGTATATTAGGGAAGTGAACAGGATGTAATTCAAGATCAGAAACAAGTCAGGATGTATCAATTCTCCAGTCAGGAATGCCTCTTCTCTAATTGTTTTGCAGGCATGCCTCACTTGTATCTTCAAGTGAAGGCCTCAGTTGAGTAGGCCTCTACCTTGCTTGGGCAAGTGTTACAAAATTCTTTTAGCCAGTCTGTAAATGCCAAAATGCACATTCTGAAGCCTTGTAGGCTTATAGGCACTCAGCTTAACTTGGTCAATGGGCTTGAAAGCCTGTAGCAATTCTGTCTTCCCATACTGTTGCCTCTGCCCTGCTGCTTTTCTATGTAGGGATCTCATGTTCTACTCATGGCTCTTCTTCCTTGAAGGTCCTGGGATTGGCTGTTCTTGCTTTTAAGATGGCTCCTTTTAAACTTAGCAGGATGTCAAAACTAATCAATCCTGGCATTAGAGTCCTGCACACCTTATTTACATGGTCCCATTCAGTTATTTGGAGTCCTGGTATGGTGCTACAGGATAAAGTACTGGACTGCAAGGTCAATTTGAACTGTAAGGTCTACTGTCCAAACTCACCAGCCACTCCTCAGAAATCCTGGTGGTTATGAGTCAGAACCAACTCAACGATACTTAACAACAACAACAATTCAGTTATTTAGTGAGAGTTAAGAAGACTTTGGATAGAAAAGCCATATATCAAGTAAATTCACAGTACCATAACATAATAGAAATACTGAATGATTAGAAGGAGAAGAATCCATATTGTCTTGTTTCATTAAAGAAATGTGCCCAAGAAAATGATTTGGGAATTAGTATACAGAGTAATAATAACTAATATGTTTGGAGAGCTTTACAGTTTATGAAGAGTTTTTACATAACCACTCTATGAAAAGAGTTATTAGCCACATTTTTAAGATAAAGAAACAGAGACTCAGAGGTTCTTTTTTTTTTTTTTTTTTTTTTAAAGAAGCAGAGTTACAGCTCAAACCCAGCAATGCTGGCAGCTATGAAATTATGTTAGTTTTATATTTTGTTTTTCCATGCATTTTCATTATTGTTTTCCTGTTCATAATCTAAAATAGTCTCACCAGAAGCTGAAGTCAGATAGACTAAATGACTCATCCACATTCCCATAGCTATTTAATGAAGGAAAGCAGTATTAAACCTTATATGCCTGAATGTCTAGTCTAGAGAATTCTTTCCACTTTTACATAACCATGTTTTAAAATTTCCAGGTGGAGAGAAAGGAGGGAGAAGAAAAGTGACATTTGATTTGAAAGGACTCTAAGACACAAACACATGCCATCACAGAGACCACCTCAACTATTCAGAGCTGTATTAATCCTAGCCATGTAACTAGAGATTTTTCACCTACCTTGTGCTGAGGGTGATGTGTGGATGGAACAATTGAATTGTCATACTTCAGTTGTTGACTCTATATATTCACCTCATGATTCACATCTGTGCAATATTTTGAAATAACAATGAAATACAAAAAAGACTTTTAGATCCATGTGAGTTTGTTGTTAAGTGCTGCCAAGCCACTTCTGATTCAGTGATCCTGTATAGGGTTTTCCATGGAGGGCTGGTAGGTTTGAACCACTGACCTTATGTCAGTCCAGTGCTTATCCTATAGTGCCACACCAGGGCTTTCCATGTGCATATGAATGGGTTCTATTCCTTATCTACCTAATTGTGCTCTAAATGCAGATTTTTCACATAGGAGTTGTAGGCCAGACTATTTTCATTGAAAGAAAACACACAGAATAAACTTAGCTCTTTAGATAACTATACTACTTTTTATATTCAAGGAAACTGAAGAACAGTTAACTAGATTTTCTGATTTTGTGTGTGTGAATACATTCCCAGTTTAAGATGACTAGGCCTTGATTCTATATACTTTTAGGCAGTATTGATTTTAGCCTACAGCACAACATTGCAAATCTTCAAGTTTTTTGCTTTCCAAGAAAAGTAAATGCTATATTACATTCCAGAAGTTGCTATTTCCTCAACTCAAGGTTGAACATATTCCAGTGTCACCCTTACTCCAGCCCCAGTGACAATTACAAACTTCATTGTACAATAATAGTCTGGCTGTTTTCTGCTAAGAGTGTCTTAGGTTGAGATTAAGCTTTCAGTAGTTGGTGAATATTCTGTTTCCTTACTTATGAAAGTACTTTAAAAAAACAGACTAACAATATTCAAAACTAGATTAAAATTTTTCTGTTGTGGAGATTTCTTTGCTTAAAAAAGTTATTGTGGTTGCAGCACTAGAGAGTTTTTTTCTTTCTCATAACCACCAACATATTCTATGTAGACTCTGAGGTGGCTCTGTAGGATAAGCACTGGACTGTGAATTATAAGGTTGGTGGTTTGAGTCTACCAGTCACTCACTGGGAGAAACCTGAAGTTTTCTGCTCTTGCAAAGACTTCCAGGCACAGAAACCCTATACTCAAAGGACTCAATAGCACTTAGCAAAAACCAGTTAAAGGCATTTATTTGGTTAACTCATCTTCTCACTGAGGGTCGAGATTCTCACCTTTCTCATTTTCCCCTCTCGGCATGTCTATTGAGGACATCTAGCTATCTCTGTGTAAGACTACAGTTGTGGGGGGGGGGGGCTTATGTATGTATGCCAGTGGGCTTTAAAGGTGAGGCTGCGCATAAGACATTATATATTATGTTGTATTTTGATGAAAATTTCTGTTAAAGAAAATGCACACTTATATAATGTTTGTTAGATGGTTTTTAAGAGCAGGTTGAGTTGTTTGAAAAGCTTGATATATATATAAAATTTATGCCTGGTGTGGCGCTGTGGGTTAGTTAATGAGCTAGACTGCAAAGTTGCTAGAACTGCAAAATCTGCAGTTCAAGTCATCAGCCACTCTCGGAAACCCTATATAAGGTCGCTATGGGCAGGAACTGACTCGAAGGCACATAACAACAATAGTGTTTGATGCTGACTCATAGCAACCCTGATTAGGTTTTCCAGGAGAGGCTGGTAGGTTTGAACTGGTTCACAGTCCAGTGCTAATCCTACAGTGTCATACCAGTAGTCCTGTACACCTTATTTGTATATGTATATATATGCATGTGTGTGTATAGCTCTGTTAGTTAGTGGTTACTAGTTGGGCTGATGATCTGAAGGCCAGCATTTTGAAACTACCAGCTGTTCCATGGAAGAAAGATGAGGCTTTCTACTCCCATAAAATTGACAGCCTCGGAAATCCTATAGAGGGCCGCTATGAATTGGAACCAACTCCAAGGCAAATCACCACCACCACCACCATATTAAGTTGTTAAGTATCGTTGAGTTGGTTCCAACTCAAAGCCACCTGTATCGGGTTTCTGAGGAACAGCTGGTAAGCTTGAACCGCTGACCTTGAAGTTCAAACACCTTTGCAGTCTATACATTAACACACAGCGCCACACCAGGACTTTCTCTCCCTCCTAGGACTCAATCTCTCTATATAAACACATATTGTTGTTGTTAAGTGCCGTCGAGTAGGTTCCGACTTTGCAGTCCAGAGCATTAACCCACAGCACCACACCAAGACTCTCACTCTCTCATTCCCAGGGAGACTCCATATATATATGTGTGTAATGAGCTCTGATAGCATAGTGGTTATAAATCAGGCTGCGAACCTCAGGGACAGCAGTTCTAAACTACCAGCTGTTCCGCTGGAGAAAGATGAGGCTTTCTGCTCCCGTAAAGATTCACAGCCTCGGAAACCCTGTACAGGGTCTCTATGAGTCGGAACCGACTCCATAGCACAAGCACATAACAACAACAACAACATATGGACTCCTGGTATAGTGCTGTGGGTTAATGTGCTGAACCGTAGGGTGGGTGGATCAGGCTCCCCAGTCGTTCCTAGGAACCCCTATACAGGGTAGCTATGGATCGGAACCGAATCCAGGGCACTTAACAGCATATATGTATATATGTATATAGTGTGTTTGTTGTTGTTGCTAAGTGCCTTAGAGTCGGTTCCGACCTATAGCGACCCTATATAGGGTTTCGGAGGAGTGATTGGTGAGCTTGAACCTGGATCTTGAGGATCAAACTGACTTTGCAGTCCAGCGCATTAATCCACAGCACCTCACCAGGTCTCCATATATGTATTCATGCAGATATATAACTATATAGCAACTTGAGGCGCGGAAGCTGACTCCAGTGTCTCCCAAAGAGAGGCGGTACCCGGGAGCTTTGCTTAAATCCCAAACCGGAATAACCTGTTGCGGGACTTCAAGCTCCCGCAGTTGCAGGTTGGCGTCCCCTAGGCCACTGTACAGATCCTCGCTCCGTAGTCGCGCGCCTCAGGCTTGACAGGAGACTGGTCACGTGGCAGCCGCAAAGCGGCGCTTTGCGACCTCGATGACAGGCAAAATGTGCGACAGCCGTGGCGCTGGCCAACCAGGGGCGGAGGCGGTGGCCAGGGAGGAAGCGGAGGAGGCGGAGGCGGCCGTGGCGTTAGTCCACCTGCCTGTTCCCTTGGTTTCCCCGCCCCCTCCAGTCTCGCCACCACCGAAGGGGCCTGGGTGCGCACTGTCGCAACCTGCCCTCACTCCGGCTGGCGACTGTAAGATCTGACCCGCATCCAGACCAACCTCCTTGACGGGGCGGCTTCGGCGCGGGCTCCTCGGGACATAGGCAGGCGGCCGGGGCGCCTGAAGGTTACTGAGTGTATGAACGCCTAGAGTCTCCCGCGCTGCCCCGCCTGCCAGCCCGCCGGCCAGCCCGCCCGCTAGCCCGCCAGCCCCTCGGCACCCGGCGGCGGCGGCGGCGGCGGCGGCAACGGCCGCAGGAGGCGCAGTCTCCCTCCCAGGTGCGCGCTTCGCTCCCAGAACCGCGGGACTCGGCGGCCGCCATGGCGTCCAACATGGACAGGGAGATGATCCTGGCGGATTTTCAGGTGAAGTATCTAGTCCTGTTTCCCTCCCACCTTCAACCTCGTGGAGAGTCGATGCTGGGAAGGTGGCCTTCTCCCACCGTTTGAGCGCTGTGTTAGTGGGTGGCTTTAGCCTTTTATATGATTAGTGACTTGAGGTGTGTGTTTTGTGAGCCATGGGGGGCTTATATGCTATGTTGAGTGTTTGTAGAATGTATTATTTACGGTTGAATGGGCTTTGTAGGGTGAAGAGATGTTATTTGGTGATTTTTTTGTATGGACTGTAGTAGTTCCTCAATTATAGGGAGAGTGTGTAGTGTTTGGGAATATTAAGTGTGGCGGTGTTAAGTATGGGGTGTTATGAGTGGGGAGTTTGAGGTTTAGTTTTCATGAGGAGGGTGTGATGTATGGAGTGTGGGTGTGGAGCATGTAATGTTGTGGGAATGGTGTATTGTATTAAGGGAAGAGTGAAAAAGCAGAATGAAAGGAGGAGGTGATGTGGTAGGGGACTCTTCTAATTCCTATATTCAGAGGCACTGTTCATTTTCCAGGAAGATTAAACGTTTTAGACTTTGAATGTCTTATTAGAATCTAGAGAGTAAGAAGAAGGCGAACAGATTGTATGTATCAAGATATTTCTGCAGTGAATTCACAAGCTTGATAATTTACCAGTTTATTTTTGCGGATCCTTTAGGCTACATATTTGAATTGCTTGATTGGTGTCCTTTCTCCAGGAATAATTTTAAGCATAAGTACAAGTTATTCCCTTACTTCTCTGAACTCCATTGTAATTAATGACACTAGAGGTCCTTTGAAAGTAGAACTGTGTGCATCATGACAGCTTTGCAGTTGGAATTAATGCTCTGCAACCTCGTTTGCCTTTTGAGAGTTTGGAGAAGAAAATGTTGTAGTGAGACATTTTAACCCTTCAATTTTGGCACTAGGTTAGACAGTAAGCCACTGTCAAGGACAATAGGTAGACTTTACCTTCTTTATTTTTTTTAACACTGCCATCTTTATTTTAACACTGCCATTATTGCACTCTAACATGCTGTTAAGTACAGTTCAGTCTGTTCCAATCCACAGGGACAGCGTATAGAGTATATAATGAGCGGCTTCTGGATTTAAACTGCCGACCTTGCGTTTAGCAGTCCAGTGCTTATCCTGAGCCATATCAGGACTCCGCACACTATCGTCGAGTCGGTTCCCACTCATAGCGACCTTGTATAGGGTTTCCTGGAGTAGTGCTGTGGGTTAATGCATAGGACTGCAAACTCGGTTTGAACTACAATATCAGTGGTTCAAGCACACCAGCTGCTCCTTGAAAACCCTATATAGGGTTGCTATGGGTTGGAACTGACGTGATGGCACTCAACAACAACAACATAGAGTTTCCTTGGAGCGGTTGGTGAGCTTGAACTGCCAACCTTGAGGTTCAAGTTGACATTGCAATCTTCTAGCACCACACCAGCACACTAGCATGTTGTTGTTATTGTTGTTGTTTAAGTGCCATCGAGTCGGTTCCAACCCATAGCGACCCTATATAGGGTTTCCAAGAAGCAGCTGGTGAGCTTGAACCACTAACCTTGCAGTTCAAATGACTTTGCAGTCTGACGCATTAGTCCACAGTGCCACACCAGGACTCTGCACACTAATACAGTAGGCAGTATGTTGGGCTTTTCTTTTTTTTTTCTATGTTTTTTTAGGTTTCTTAGTTTTGTAGCTTAATATTCTATTGGTCATTCCCAGAGTTTACTATTTTGGTACCCAGTGAATAAGTGATTTATTAGTTGTTGTTGGTTGTATGCGCCGTCAATCAGTTCTGACTCATGGCGATATTGACCATGTATATTGTTGTTGTTAAGTGCCATCGAGTTGATTCCGACCCATAGCGGCCCTGTGTAGGGTTTCTGAGGAGTAGGTAGCGAGCTTGAACCACTGACCTTTGCAGTTCAAACGACTTTGCAATCTGACGCATTAGCCCACAGTGCCACACCAGAACTCCATCGACCATGTATGGGGTTTTTGAAATTGTAAATCACTATGGGAACAAAAAGCCTGGTGGACTTGAACTGCTAACCTTGCAGTAAGCATCCCAATGAATAACCCACTATGCTACCAGGGTTCCTTAGTGATTTATTAGGGATATGTGTATATCTTCATTTGATTATACTGTAATCTACAAGTTAAGGCAAAAAGGAGCTTCTTAAAATAAAAGTCGACTACAAACTTTTGGTGTTTTGTAGGTGTAAAATTAGCCTGAGTTTTTTTCCTACATAAATATTTCATTTTTCTTTTGAATTCTCGTGTTCCACTTTTTATCTAATGTGGAATACAGTTGTCTGAAAAAAGATATTGTATTTATAGGTGTAGTTTTATCCTATTATAAAATTGTAGTATGAGTGGAATGGCTTTAGATACAAAAAAGTATAGCTTGATGTTTACCTCATCAAAAGATTTCTAAGATAATTATAACTTTGTTTTGCTTTCATTAAACTTTTTACATCCTTTGATAACTTGTAGCTGCTTGCTCTCTCATTTGTGACAATTATTATGCCTTTGTTAACCGTATACTGACTTTGTTATTTTTAAGTGCCATTCCAACTCATGTGACTGTATAGAGTTTCAGATGAGTGGCTGGTGGGTTGGAAACACCAGACCTTGCTGTTAGCAGTCCAGGGCTTATCTTTCAGTGCCACACCAGGAGGATTCTAGTAACAATCATCAGGGGTTTTGTTTTAGAAAGAAAATGATTATTTTGATCACATTAACAAATTCCAATAAGTTTTTCTCTTTAGATCAGTAACAAATAGTGAATGCCAAATAGAAAAAAAAAATTATGTCATTTGGATTAATTGTTTACCAAATGGTGAGTTAATTTTATATTGCCAAATATTTAAGAAAACATTGGTAGCATAAGAAATTATTTTGCAAACCATACATATGTTAAACACATTTTGTGTGTTTAGGAAGCTTGTATTCCTCTTAAAATGATGACACCAGATCAGTTTGCTTTCTTGGTCTGTTTTTTTTTTTTCTTAGTCTGTTTTTAAAATAGATTAATCTTCCTTTTTTTTTTTTTCAATATTAAGTAAGATTTTTGTATGATTAAGTTAATAAACTAAAGCATTTATCCAGTTATAAGTAATCACATAATTCATTTTAAAGATTGCAGCTCAAGATGTGGGATATGGATATTTGGATAACAGTTTCTTCTATAACTGGGCAAATCAATTTCCCCACCCAAAAGTGAACTTTAGTAAAGTATATTTTATCTGGCTCATATGATTGTGGGAATTAGTTGCTGTTTTGATTACTGTTTTGACTTTTTAAAAAAACAAAACATAATTTAAAAATATAATTTGGTTTTAAAACTAAGTAAGTATCAGATTTTGATCGGTGCTGCATAGTTCTTGTTAAGTGCCATCTGGTCAGTTCTAACTCATAGTGACCCTGTATAGGGTTTCCGAGGAGTGCCTGGTGAGTTTGAACATTCGACCTGTGGTTTAAGTTGACCTTGCCATCTAGTTGGAATTTGTGATCTCTTTTACTCTTTTAATTCAATATAAAAGAACTGTTGAATTCAGTAGGAGAGTGAGGATAAGTAATGAATGGATGCTATAGCTAGCTCAGTTTTAATGGGATATGCTTGGGACTTTGTAGATTAGTGAATTTATTACAAAGCAAATAAACGTATTATAAATAGTCCTCTATGTAAAGAAAACGAAAATCCTCACCACTGGACCAATAAACAACATTCTTACCAACAGAGAAAAAATTGAAGTTGTCGAGGACTTAATTCTTGGATTAACTATCAACACTTATGGAAGCAGCAGTCAAGAAGTCAGATGACACATTGCATTAGGCAAATCTGCTGCACAAGACCTTTGTAAAGCATTTGAAGAGCAAAGATGTCCGCTTGAAGACTAAGGTATGTCTGACCGAAGCCATGGCATTTTCAATAGAAACCTCATATGCATGTGAAAGCTGGACAGTGAATAAGGAAGACCATAGAAGAATTGATGCTTTTGAGTTATGGTGTTGGAGGAGAATATTGAAAGTGCCACAGGCTGCCAAAAGAACCAATAGATCTGTGTTGGAAGAAGTGCAGCCAGAGTGCTCCTTGGAGGCCAAGATGGCCAAACTCCGTCTCTTATACTTTGGACATATTGTCAGGAAGGACCAGTCGCTGGAGAAGGATATCATGTTTGGAAGGGTGGAGGGTCAGAGAAAAAGAGGAAGATCCCCAGAGAGATGGATTGGCAAAGTGGCAGCATCAATGGACTCAAGTGTGGTAACGATAGTGAAGATGGCCCAGGATCGGGCAGTCTTTCGTTCTGCTGTGCATAAGGTCGCTATGAGTCAGTATTGACTCGCTGGCACCTAACAACAACAACAACAATAAAGGATCCCCCTCCCTAACTTCTAGTAAAAATAGATTACACATTTTTATATGGAGAGAACAACCTTATCATGCTTAATTTAATCAGTTGTTTTTAAATTCAGCTGTAAGGAAGTGAGTTTGGAGTTTGATTGTACCAGAAATCAGTTTTAAGTGCACATAGTTTTAGTATAGTATGTGATTGCTAAAGGAATGAGTAGAGTAGTACACCTACAGTTCTGCCTGGCCAGAGCCAGGAGAGGGTGTGAAGGAATTTCCTGGATTTTAAAAAAACAACAGGCAGGCATTGATGAATCATGAGTTTTTTTTTGTTTTTATTCCCTAATGTCTATTTATAACAAATGCATTCAGGTGAAAGTTCCAAATCTTGTTCTTTATGTAACTGTAGAATTCTTTAGCTTTTTACCCCCTTAGGGTGAATTGTAGAACAAAAATTGTTTGATCAAATAAACTTTTCAGACCCTATTTGATTTTCTTACAGATGTGAAATTAGTTATCCAAATAGTATTGTACTTGCTATCAAATAATTTCAGTAGTATTTGTACCTCTTACTTTGAGTCTATAGGAACAAAAAATAAATCCTCTGTCTCCCCCTATATACTTTCAATTATTGTTGTGCTAA